GGTGCCAACAACGTCGTCTTCATCAGAACCCAGGGCATAGGTGGGACATCAGCTGTGCAATGCTGTGTGGATAAACTGCTTTGAATGGTGTTAGTAACAGGCCACAGAGTGTGACTTCCAAGAAGCTTGCGTATACCAAACAAATACAGGGTTTCCCTTTCCCTTTGGTATTGCCACTGAATTTTGTCATTAGTAGAGTCACTAGAGGTAGAGAAATCTGCTCTGACAAAATATTCTTTGATTATTCAGTTTTGTTATAGTAAAATAACTCCTTACTGAAAAGGATTTGAGGCTGACAGCCATGCAGCCAAGCATGCGTTTCCCCAGCTTATTTAGAGGGGGGAAGAAGGGAGAAAATGGCTTGGATTTGTTTCTCATACCCAGCTGTTTTTCTTGTAGAACCTGAGAACCTGGTGCACCATATATTAAAGGATATGCATGCTACTAAAAAGAAAAAAACAAGAGTCATTCTGCGCATGCTGCCCATTTCTGGAACGTGCAAGGCTTTTATGGAGGATATGAAAAAATACACGGAAACATTTTTTGAGCCTTGGTTCAAAGCCCCTAATAAGGGTACTTTTCAGATTGTTTACAAAGCCCGCAATAACAGTCATATGAGTAGGGAAGAAGTGATTAAGGAATTGGCAGGTATGTATGGATTTCACACAAAACTAAGAACAAGTATACAAGCAGCCCACAACTGCATGCATAACATACGTTATTAAAAGTGGTCTTAATGGGCATACATATTTGTTGCTTAAAATCTGTATGTTGAATTACAAAAGCTTCTCTAAGACTTAAAGAGGCTTGACATCGATATTCCATGTTGGTGTTGATGTCTTGAGAGCCAGCAAGCAGAAGAGAATACAGTGTTGAATATAATTTGAAGTGTTAGGTATATGTGCTTTGAAGTGACTGCTAACAGGCTTTCTCTTGAATGACTCATAAAATAGCTCCACCTACTCAAGTATTTTGTTTCTTGGTAATTGCAGTGGGACGGTTTTCCAGTTACTTCAGTCCTGCTGGTGGTATATTCTGAATCCTGCTCTGTTCTGCTATTTTAAGCAATTACAAAACTGATCAATTGGTTACAACTAGGGGGGATGTTGCCTTCCCTCTCCTAACTTTTATCCATTCAATAGGGCGTGCTTATTCTCTGAAACAGTTTTTCCAGCATCTTTTAAACTACATCTTGTTTTACAGGAATTGTGGGCAGCCTCAATCCAGAAAACAAGGTCGATCTTAATAACCCAAAATATACAATTGTGGTGGAAATAATAAAAAACGTCTGTTGCTTGAGTGTGGTCAGAGACTATGTTCTGTTCAGAAAATACAATCTACAGGAGGTGGTGAAGAGCAGCAAAGACGACACACAACAAAACCCATCAAGTCTGAGAGAAGAACAGAACTTGAAGGTAGTAAAACCAGAAGCCGAAGAGGAGCAGAAGAGCTCAAAAGAAGTAAAACAAGAGAACAAGAATCAAGGCGAAACAGAAGCTGAATCCAAGGGGAATGATGCTCTGACAGTGTAGAAAATGTGGCAGAAGGGAAAGCTAAACACAACTGAAACCTATTTAAAAAGTTGCCCTAGAGTTCTGAAAGGTTGTTTTAAAGAGGGGAGTGGGTTTTGTTTTGAAATCTTGTTTTTAAAATCCACACGTGTAAGAATTTTAATGCTCATTTCAGGTGGAGCTGACATTACAGCAGATGGAAGAGTGTGTCACCTTTCAGGTGAAGCTTGCTGTCATTCTTCTATGGCTTTGTTCTGCATTGCCTTTACCTAGCACAAAAAGCACCAGTGGGTGCATGCATATGGAAATGTAGCCATCCAGACATATACTGACTCTGCTTATTATGTCCGATGGCCGCAGAAATCAAAAGGCAGTGCAGAATCGGCCCCATCGGGAAGTACTGACAGAAGGGAGAGACCTGACAGACAGTTGCTTGCAGAGGGTTTTTAAGGAAGTGATCTGACAACTTGTGTAACTGCAGAACTCAGATACATTTTTTGCGTGAACAACAGAATGAGGTAAAACTGATAATTTCCTATATGATGGAGGGTTTTATATATATCTATATATATACACACACATCACTTAGCAAGGATATGCCAACTCTTGAAAATGAATAGGAGGAACTGCTATGATCATAATACTTGAATACTATGAGACGATGTAGAGTAATAGATTTGACTGTTCTAGAACAGTAGAAGTACAGTGCAGGCATTGCAGATCGTTTTAGCAAAAATACATGTGTGTTTACATTAGCTGCGTATACAGCAGTTATTGGTTTATAGGAAATGCCGTAGTCACTGAACAGAATCCTTTTGAGTAATTTCCTGCAAATAGCCTTTTGCTGCTCTTTCCAAAGACTTAATCCTGGGGGATTTTATAAAGTCTTTTTTTGCCTTTATTTTTTTCTTGGGTCTCAAGATTTGAATTTAAATACTGCTTGGAAACTTCTTATGAAAGAAGCTCTCAATTATACCATACTGGATAAGGGGAATTAAGTTTAATTTTTGGTAGTTTCAGCTTTACAATATTTTGTTTCAGATTGAAAGTAACGTTAGAAAGTCTTTCTGTTGTCTGTCTGTTACAACAACTCTTTTGATATCCCAGTGACCTTTAAAAAGGAACCAAAACCAGTGCAGCCATAACCTGCTTTCCAGTAGGGTTTTGAGTATGCTTCCTGTATAACTGTCTAGCTTTAGTATTTAATTTCTGGCATAAAAGCCTGTGGATTGCTAATGGGAAAAGACTCACTTGAAGAACACCACTTGTTACTTGTCTTGGTGTAATCAAAAGGATGTGTTCAAGTCTCTCAACAGTGTTTAATTTACATTTTCCTCTTCTCTCAAAATTGTTTTAGAAGTTGGAAAATTAAGACGACTTTTTTCCCTAGTCCTGTTTCCCTTACTACCCATTTATTAAAACTCTGCTTTCTTACCTTCACCAGTGTTTTCTTTAAATTATAAAAAAAAAAAAAAAGTTTTTTGTGTGTGGATTAAAACCAGCAATCTCTAGGGCACCCATAGGAAAGAACCATTTGAGACCAGACACAAAGGCCAACAGTGAATGTTTATTGGTGGCTGATACCATGATTCAATGCAACCTACTTATCTAACTAAGGACAAAGATAGACCCATGGATAATTTGTAGTCTGTTCTTTTTCCTTCTCTCACTCATATGCCTGTCTACAGGACCTACAGCTCTTCGGAAGAAACTGCTGAGTAGCTACCATCCATTTGTCAAGCCTATGCTGTAGTGTTAAAGATGTCTGCATTCTTTTATTTCTGGTTTTTCATAATTTCCACTTACAGATTAATTCCCAGATCTTGAGGCTTTCAAGATTCAAACAAGTGGGTTGCTTAATTTGGATGCATGCAAGATCTGTAGCCATTTCTGGGAACTTCATTAAATACTGTCATGATTTCCTCATTAATAAGCCTCTTGTGAGTTAAAATATCTGGTTGCAAAGAATGAACACACTGCTCCACCTGGTAATCACTTAACTTCTAGTACTGTAATTCTGAAAAGTGTCAGGTGGCTGGACGATGTGTTTGCATATGCCTTGCTAAGTAGGCTTGGTTTTTGTTAAGGAAGAACACAAGCATTTAAAAGCTACAGTTGGAGCTTTTAAACCTCATGAGTTATTACACAATCACTACCTAACAGGTGAAATATAATCCTATGTTGGTGCTTACAGTTGTAATAGAAAAGCTCCCTTATGAATGAGATTGATAGGGATAATTTTTTTTAGATTGCTTATTACAACTAAGTCCGTCCCCACTCCTTGTTCCTCAGTTCATTCCGTCTGATTTTCCCAGCGATTGTCTTTGGCAGCTGCTGGACAAATTCAATCTGATTCAAAAGAGGAAAAAAGTAAAATGAGCAGATTTCATTTACAAATTTTTTTTTTTTTTCAGAACAGCATAGGTCTCCATCCTACTTAAATAAGAATTTAATGACTGGGGAAATAACTCCAATTTGGTTTTAGACTGTTTGTATCTATTACTTTTCAAAATCTTTAAAATAATACTTGTCATTTTTCTTGCATAGCACATATTTGGGCTTGCTTTCATAGAATCATAGAATCATAGAATGACCCGGGTTGGAAGGGACCTCAAGGATCATGTAGTTCCAACCCCCCTGCCTGGCAGGGCCACCAAACATACACATTTACTAGATCAGGTTGCCCAGGGCCCCGTCCAACCTGGCCTTGAACACCTCCAAGGACGGGGCATCCACAACCTCCCTGGGCAGCCTGTTCCAGGGCCTAACCACTCTCCTAGTAAAGAACTTCCCCCTAACATCCAACCTAAATCTTCCCTCCTTCAACTTGTATCCATTTCCCCTAGTCCTGCTATTGTCGGCCCTTTCAAAGAGTTTACTTTGTTTGTTACTGCATTTGAACTGAGTCTAATCTTTCTGTTTCTAGCTTCCCCATGGTTGAAATAGGTGTTTGGCTTTTTTATTTTTTTTTTATACACTCATGTTTACTTGCCTTTCTGGGGTACTTGTATGGAGCAGTGACTTTCTTGACATGATCTTGCAATTCACAGGCCAGTTTCTTTGGATCTTGTGACTTAAAGGAAGAAGACAAGACCACAAAAGCTTTTACCACCTACAAGGGGAAAATAAATAAAAAAGACAGCATTAATGAAACTAGAGCAACCTAATAAATGAGGCAGTCAATTGAGAATAAGTGAGTATTGCCTGCAGTACACGCTTGCTGTATCACACCTGTGCAATAGAGCAAAATTTGCTTCTGTGTAACCAAATTTAAAATTAGGACGAAAGACTGTTTCTACCTTACATTAGTAAAGGTCTTATGTAATACATGATAAAAATTTCAAACTCTGCTTCCCAATTTATAAGCATTCTGTAAAAGACTGTTTTAAAGTTCTTAGATGGTAAGGCATTTCTGTAAACATATGTTGTTAAAGAATATAATTCTCCAGGCAGCAGGTCAAAGTGTACATCAGTTCTTACCAGAGTGACCTTTATACTCAGTATCATGTTCTTTAGGAAGCTAAGGATAGTATTTTCATTTTGGAAAAATAAAGGGGAAAAAAAAAAAAAGGAATACGGGATACACAAACTACTGCTCCCTGTGCTTTGGGTAAAGTGATGAGAAAGTCTGTGTAGCTATATTAAAAGTCTTATGAATTTAGTGGAAGTTGGTGTAAGCTCTGTCACACAAGGCACTTTATGAATAGGAGAGGGACCACTAATTACCTCTCTGTAGCTATATTAAAAGTCTTATGAATTTAGTGGAAGCTGTAAGCTCTGTCACACAGGGCACTTTATGAATAGGAGAGGGACCACTAATTACCTCTCCTCTGACGGGATCTGGGCTGCTGACAACAGCTGACTCAGCGACAGCTGGGTGCTGTATCAGGGCATTCTCTACTTCAAATGGTCCGATACGGTACCTAGGAGAGAGAAATTAAATGCTTAGTAGGTGAAAGGTACATGGTTATTTTTTAGCCATTTCTTGGTGTTTTAACAGAAATCTACAAACCCAGAGGAGATGATGACATCATCAGACCTCCCCATAAACCAGAAATACCCATCCTCATCCATGCTCCCTCTGTCTCCAGTGATATAGAAGTTCCCACGGATTGTGGAAGCAGTTTTCACTGGATCATCCTGTTGAACAAACAACAATTAAATATTCTAACTACTGAGAAACCTTAAGCTTAGAGATGAGTTTTGCCTCTTTGGACACTACCCATAGTATCTTTCACTGTCTATTTTCAGTCTCCAGAATGTAGCAGCTTGTGCTTGCTTTTTCCAGAGGGGAAAACTTATCGTAAGGGCAGACACAGAACTGAAGATCACACAGTAGGTCTGCAGAAAAATGGGGGAGAGAATGGAAGTTTCGTAAGCCAGACCACTGTCAAGAAGAGCCACAGCTCTTTGGTGTTGCACCTGCTCCTGTTGGTATAAATCCATACCATGCTGAGGGTCTGAACTGGCTCTCTGGAAATTCACTTTTGGCTTACCACGTATCGAGTGAAAAAAGTAAACGGCCGCTTAGGCTCCATTTTGATAGCAATGTCTCCTTCTTTCCCAGGAGGCAGAACACTGCCATTTTCATCTATAATCTGCAATAAGAAAGGCAAATGGGTGATTATAACTTCCCATTTTAAGAGAGCCATGTTCTAAAACGAACCAGCAGCCAACAGCTGCAACAAAAACGTCAGCCTGCCCTGAATACCACTGTATGGTACTGAAACTTGCACAGCATGCCGCACTCTCTTGTGTTTTACTTTCAAATCAACAGCAAACAGAAAAGGGGACCACCATACCTGAACATCATAGGGGGGAACTGCCTTTCCCAAAGAACCTGGCTTAATTTTCATTCCTTTCATATTTCCACATGCCATTCCCTGTTGGAAAAGACAAACAACCAGCCCAGGTATTTTTCACTGTCATAGAATCATAGAATCATAGAATGGCCTGGGTTGGAAAGGACCATAGTGATCATCTAGTTTCAACCCCCCCGCCATATGCAGGGCCGCCAATCA